GTTTGACAATATTGACAAAATGGGAGTGGATTTCACAATTTTACAAATCTGCACTTAGAGTCTTAATCATGACATGGTTGAAATTGAGGGTTATTCAATTGTACTTGGCCCGTAAAAAACAACGGATGCGCAAAAAAATAATGATCTAGTACAACTACAAAAAATGCTCGCCAACTCGATAAGTTGGTGGGTGGCATCATAAGGATGTAACGTGCCAGCGAATACATACCCTGGGGCTTCATAGCCCATGGTTTGTGTTTGATACCCCTACTCTGGAAGAAGTGCACACAAAACAAAAGGTACTGAACCATAGCTGAAAAATGATACTTTTCCTCACAGCTGCTATACAGTTTGTCTAATGCAGATATGGTTGAAAAAAAATTGGTAAATTCAAATGAGCTCTACCAAAGCAATTAATCTGGAGGCATCCTGTATATTGTGGATGTAATCTTTACTAAAGCAGTGATTATGCTCCCAACATTTGGAATAACAAAATGTTCTTTGGCATGTATTGTGCTTCAAGCAAAGAGCGTAAACAATGTTGACTTTTTACTCTTGCCATTATTCTAAAGTTTACCTATCCATCACTGGCAAGTAAGGCATTGCCCACCAAAAGGTTATGTGGTATCTGAGAGTAGACTCAATACCATTATGCTAGAAAATGTCAACACGACAGATATACATTTACTTATGTGATGCACCACTGGCACAAATGTAAGCAGTGCTGACATGTGAGATCAGCTTGCAGGATGGGAACAAAGTAAAATGTTATGCACATTTTCTATATATCTCGGATTAGCATGCTTGGCTATGCAGGGTGCAAAATAAGTTAAACTTACATATGCTAATTTACAGAACTCGTTATCTTTATCAGGCTTGATCAAGCCACTGCTGGATGAAGACACCCACCCCCCTAAACCGTTGCCATCCCTCAATCCATTTGGCACCCGCATAGGAGGTGATCCCATCATATTCTTAGGTTTTTTTCGGTAAAGTCACGTAGGTAAAAACATTAAAAAGTAAAATAAAAGAAAAATCACGTTTCGGAGGCAACACAAGCTTCCGTCTTCAGGTGGTAACGTCACAGCCACTACAGCTGTATCAAGTAAATGAGAGATTGCAGGCGCTACCACTCCGTTATATAATGGTTGGAGTAGTAGCTCCTGCAATCTCTCATTTACTTGATACAGCTGTCGTGGCTGTGACGGTACCACCTGAAGACGGAAGCTTGTGTTGCCTCCGAAACGTCGTGATTTTTATTTTATCTTATTTTACTTTTTAATGTTTTACCTACGTGACTTTACCGAAAAAACCTAAGAATATGAATCACTGCAGTCACGAAAGCTTCAAATCTAGAAGTGATCCCATCACTTCCAACTCCCAAGAAGATGGACTTTTTCGGCACGATCCCTTTGGCTATCACTCAATCATTAGTCTCGATCATTGGCTAACAACATCCCTTCTCGAGACATATGCTGACAAAGCCCACTTACTTTTCTTAACAGTCACCATGTTGTCTTTAACTTGAATATGTTCTGCAATGCATGTGTTCCTCTTCCTGTTTCTTAAATGTAATTCGAAGCTTGCACCTTTCCCGTTGCTTCTATACGCATTTATCAGCTCTTATTAAATTGTTTCGTCAATTACCATGTTTATTAAACATGTGTTTTCGCTGGTTAATATATACCGATTATGTTTTTCTTTAATCAGTGCATGTTACACTACTGTATTGTAAAATATTTGTTTTGTAATTGTGGAATGCTTTGATTTTGTCTGAGGCGTGCTTGAAAAATAGCGTCTTAGCTTAATGGGCTTTATTTGGGAAATAAACGTCTGATTATTTCGAATAGACAAAATACTTACAAAGCATATCAGAACTATTCTTTTCCGCTTTGGTAAGGGGGCACATGGGGGTGGGGGTGCTTTTGGCAGTTCTTATGTGAAGAAGCATGACCAGGATGAATTTGATGCCGCTTCTTGGTCATTCATCTTATCCACACTTTTGTGCAGATAATTGGATGAAATGCATATTTTCGGAAGGCTATTTCAGTGCCAATTGTGGTCCGGGACAAAATCCACGGATAAATGCAGGTAATGGGATATATTTGCTGCGAAACTTGTGAGTTATTCTTATCTGCCACTTATAGGTGACCCCGATCTGCAGAAAAATGTCAGTGACCGTCATCATTGTCGTAAGCCTTTCCACCGGACGGGACAGGCCGGTCATATGACCACTACCAACCACAACAACAACGCATTGTTGTTGTTGTGCAGAAATTGCTGCAAGCATTCTTGTTGCCACATGTCATATGGTAGTTCAAGGCCTATAATAAGCAGGTGTGAATACTGCGTATGTACTGAATAGTGTGTATATTATAGTCTTTGGGTCTTTCGGTAAAGTCACCTAAAAAAAATTTGTTCTACGTGACTTTACCGAAATACCCAAAGAATATGAATTCCTGCAGTCACGAAAGCTTTAAGTCAGTGTTTATATTGTATAGTGGCCTACTTTTATTTGTGGCTGAGGGAATTATCTCGGAATATATTAAATAAAAATGTGTATACTGCATTACGATGGTAAATCTTAGACATCATGAACTCAATGGCATCCTGTAAAAGTGTGGTGCACCCACTATGACTCATGGTGTTCGATTAATGAGTGCATATGTAAGTAAACACTAGTAAATGTATAACGTGTATGAAAGACGTATACACTGTGGCAGTGTATAGGTATAAAGTGTATGTTAGTTTGATGGTGAATTCCCATGACATTTTCACCTCTTTATTAACCTGGCAAAAACACATACTGTTTGAATCAACGAGTGTACATTATATGCAGTGTAAATCATCAGCTGTGTTTTATCCACTGCTGAAAACAGGTTCGCCCACGTCGTTGACATCCTTTATGACCCTCTGATGTCAAAATCCATCTCGCTCCTAGGGATGAGCTGACCTTATCGTCTCGTCTCCTGGTGGTTGTCCACGCCCTCATTTGGCTGCCATCTATGTTATGTCGTCTTGTCCATCCGTTTTCATCCCGTCTAGGAACAGTGTCCTGCCCAAGCACTTTAACTTTCTTAAACAGTCAATAGGTCTCTAGCCTGCCCTTGTTCTTTGATAGATGTTCTTCTTTTTTTTGTCTGACAGTGTAATTTCAGCACGTACTTCTCCATGTTTATTTGCTTACTTTTAGTTTGTGTTCGCTTTTCTTTGCCAGTGCCCATGTTTCTGATAAGTATGCAATAGCAGGAAATATGCTTTGATTGAAAACTCTTACCTTCGGCATAATGCTATTTTCATTTGAGAAAATACATTTTATTTCGTAACTTTTATCTCAGTACACCTTCAACAGTTGCTCTCCATTTACTGTTTGACAACTTTGTCCAGAAAACAATCCAACATTTATATATTTTTAAAGTTGTATTATTAATTAACAAGTGCGTGACTTTTGCTTTGCTCATTTACCTTAACCTACTCTTGGCATCCGTCTCCAAGTTGTGATCATATCCTGACGTTCACTTTGTGTTGTTATAAAGAACATCTGACGTGGTAGTGTATCTGTCAAAAGCCTTGACGAGAGTACATCTCCTTGCCGGACTTCTCTATTTTAATTGTTAAGTTTCGTTGTACATGTCGTACAAGACCCATAGTAAATGTATGGTATTCTCATGGTAAGCTCACCTCCTTGACCATCCGGCTAAATGGGTCGTCTATGAATATGAGCGTGAAGTGGTGTTAAGGCCATGGTAAATGTATGGTAATTCGATAGCAATCTAGCTGAACACATTATCTATGAATCTGGTAGTGTCGTTGTCGTGCAAATACGTTGCCAATGCATGGTATTTCCGAAGTAAATGTGTTAGTTCACAGTAAATGTATGGGAAGTCCATAGTAAATGTATGGTAAGACCATATTTATATGGTAATCCATGGTAAGTCCACGGTAGATGCACGCTAAGTCCATGGTACTAACACTGCCAGATGCATAGGCAAGTCCACAGTAAACCCATGGTAAGTCCACGGTAGATGTATGGTAAGTCCATGGTACTAACACAACCATCTGCCAGATGTATAGGCAAGTCCACAGTAAACCCATGGTAAGTCCACGGTAGATGTACGGTAAGTCCATGGTACTAATAAAATCACCTGCCAAATGTACAGGCAAGTCCACAGTAAACCCATGGTAAGTCTATGGTAGATGTACGGTAAGTCCATGGTACTAACACAATCATCTGCCAGATGTATAGGCAAGTCCACAGTAAACCCATGGTAAGTCTACGGTAGATGCACGGTAAGTCCATGGTACTAACACAATCACCTGCCATATGTACAGGCAAGTCCACAGTAAACCCATGGTAAGTCCACGGTAGATGTACGGTAAGTCCATGGTACCAGCACAACCATCTGCCAGATGTATCGGCAAGTCCACAGTAAACCTATGGTAAGTCCACAGTAAACCCATGGTAAGTCCACGGTAGATGTACGGTAAGTCCATGGTACTAACACTATCATCTGCCAGATGTATCGGCAAGTCTATAGTAAACCCATGGTAAGTCCACAGTAAACCCATGGCAAGTCCACAGTAAATCCATGGCAAGTCCACAGTAAACCCATGGTAAGTCCACAGTAAACCCATGGTAAGTCCACAGTAAACCCATGGCAAATCCACGGTAAACTCATGGTAAGTCCACAGTAAACCCATGGCAAGTCCACAGTAAACCCATGGTAAGTCCACAGTAAACCCATGGCAAGTGCACAGTAAACCCATGGCAAATCCACAGTAAACCCATGGTAAGTCCACAGTAAACCCATGGCAAGTCCACAGTAAACCCATGGCAAGTCCACAGTAAACCCATGGCAAATCCACAGTAAACCCATGGTAAGTCCACAGTAAACCCATGGTAAGTCCACAGTAAACCCATGGCAAGTCCACAGTAAACCCATGGTAAGTCCACAGTAAACCCATGGTAAACCCACGGTAGGCCAAGTGGGCTCTCTCACCTCCTTGGCGATGTGGCTGAGCGCGTCGTCTTCGGCCGCGAACGTCTCCCGCACCGGGTTCCGCTTCCTGCCCGGCGTCCCCATGCTGCTCCCACTGCTGCTGCCGCTCCGACTACTACGACTACAGTCACCCACCAACACCAACTCTGGCGATGATTATCACCTACGACTCTTTATTACCAGCAGCAGCAGCGAGTCAAGTTGGGAGCTGCTCGCGTTTCGCCTCGCACAAGACTGTTGCCCTCCTCCGCCCCCTCTCAAAACTCTTCGACGCTGCCACCCCAAGGGGCCCGTGACACCAACAACAACCACCACCGATGCCGCCGCGCCCTGAGCCAAAACCGCGTCTCTCCCCACCCTTCTCTCCTCTCACTGCTGGTGGCGTCTCTCTGTTTTTCTCGCGTGCGGGCCCCTGAGCTTGTCCAGTAGAGTTGCCGTGGTTCCGCTGCTGCCGTAGTTGTCGCTGTGGTTCTTCTTCCCTGCTGTTGCTGTAGCTCTGTGTGTGAGTGTGAACGCCGCCACCACCGCCGCCTTGTTCGTAGTCGTCTTCTTCTTCTTCTCCGCCCGTCTCTGCCTCCTCTCTCTCGAGAGGCCGAACCCGCCCTTGCCCAGCACGCCGGGTCCCCCACGTCAGGGTCACGCGTGACGGACGCAGCAAACCGCATGGCCCGGGTTCAAATAACACTGGTCAACACACTTTTTCTGGCATAAGTTTTCCAACGGTTTTAAGGTAATTTTGGGGTGCTGATTCCAAATCTGGCATCAGTTTTTGTCTATCACATCAGGTTTTTGAGATATAAAATATTGCATTTTCAATAAAAACTGCATAAGAAAAATATTAAATAAATGTGGATATCTACATAAAATTATATTATAAACACACTATCCTAAAAATACAGCATCATATTTTAACACTAAAGCAGTCACTGACTCGCAACAACTTGCAATCATTAGTGACGGAGTTAATTTCGGGTAAAATCAATGAAAATGGGGCATGCCGATAGCATAAAACGAGATGTGATAGAGCAAATCTGAGATCAGATTTGGAATCAGCACCCTGAAATTAGTCTAAAACAGCTGCAAAGTCCAGGCCAGAAAAAATGTTTTTTTTTTTGTTGACCAGTGTAATACATGAATTTGCTTGCGTTTCGCCCAGACGACGGTGGTTGTTGTGTGTTGAAGGTAATGTAATGTAATAAATGCCTAACAAGTGGGCCGCGTGGAAGGTTACCGTCTCCCGCATATAAGTGGACAATGTCAGCCGAGCCACAGGTCCATTGTGGTCATGTAATCCAAACTACAGACCGTGTGTCCCACCTGAAGACGATTGCTTGTGTGGCGATCGAAACGTCGTGATCTATTATTTTCTCTACCTACGTGACTTTACCGAAAGAGCCAAAGAATATAGATTCCTGCAGTCACAAAAGCTTCAAATCAAGATCGTGTCGTAAATCTTTGGTAAAACATATTTTAGCGTTGCTGCTCCACGTTTCTGGAAGACCATTGGCGCTCATTTACATTTTTTGTGTACTCCCTTAACACCCCATCTTCATTAAACCAAAATACACACATTACTTGCACATACTGTACCTTTTTTTCTTGCGCCTCTTGCTCGTGATATTAGCACAGTTGTTTTTTCATTCGCGTGTATTTCGACCATTAAATAACTCGTGGTAATGTGTGCAAGATTCCTTTAGTACCCTGAACTCATTCTCTGCGATATTGATGGTTTTGTTATGTTGCTGTGTTCACCACGGATCTGCCTTGTTAAATAGCCGAAAAAATGGCTAATCGGCATCATCTAAGAAATAAAAGAAACTTAATTTAAAAACAACCAACAATATCTCTTTAATGTTCCCAATCATAATTGATTTAAGGTATTTATAAACATAATGTGGATAAACATAGGTTTCCCCCTCCTCCCCCAAGTCTGATTGGAAGGCACGACAGCCCAAGGAGGGATGATTGATGGCTCGTGCTAGTGGAAGGACGTATTGACAGCCGATGGAGGAAATTCTAGATTTGAATTTTTATTTCTAGAAATATTTTTTTTTATTTCTATTATTCTTATTTTATTATTTATTTTTTACCGATGGAGGAAACACGTCCGTGAGAGATCTCCAACCGCTGAGATGGAGCCATAAGATGAGCTTGTGTGAGCCCAGTGCTGGATAGATTTACATTGCAGCAGCGTGAGAAATGGCAAACGACTCGGGGTGGCTTTCATCCAGTCGTGGATCGATCGTGGCTGACTGATGATTATTGAAGTGACGTGTGGTTAGCTCATGGAATTCACTGAGAAAATTCAAATTTAATAATAACCACAGATTCATGTAACAGAAAAAAACTACATTGGACACAACGTGATTCTCGACAGAATTTGAATTTCTGGTCAATTCTTGTTCCGTCACCTGAGAGATAATTGATGTGTCTGGAGCCATTTTGCTTATATAAGGGAATACCACTAAAACATGTGCACAACTGGGTCACAACCCACTTGCTGTACTACCTTTTCCAAGTTTTACACGACATGATGGCTTCTGTAATTCACGAACCTGCCTCCGAAGCGCTGGGATACATGCACGGTTTATACGCATTTTTACATTCTAAAGACCATGGTATTACATATTTATATTCAAGTTTGTAATCTTTTATTTACGTTGTCCTTGGTCAATTGCTGCTGTGGTTAAGAGGGCTCAGCTAACGTCCAGAAAATTGAGATAAAATTCCATTATGCTATTGATTTACACCATCATCAGCCCTCCAGAGTTTATAGAATCACTCTGTGGGAAGACGACTGGTCGATTAGTGGATAAGCTGGCCTCTTTCGTAGGAATGTGGAATTTCCACTACGAGCTCAGGGACGCGAAAATAGACGACAATCACAAACATTTGTTAAAACAGGGACGAAAGACACGGCACCCATTTAATCCTCGTCGATAATTATTTAACATAAAAACACATGTTTAAGAGGCAGGAAATGCGTTGTAAACGTTTCACATTTTATTACAATCATAAAAACAGCACAAATACAACACATTCGTCAATAACACTGCTCTCCGAGCAAACGGTCTGCTGAAAACAAGGATCATTGACTGAAACGTTGCTAATTATGAACATTTTTAATTTTAGGCCAATATAACTTCCGAATGTGTTTTTTTTTTGTCAACGCAGTATCAGAAAATTCCTTTATGCACAGTAATTTTTTTTCCAAACGGGATTGTTCACTTGTTTGAATTATATTTGAATTTATATATATTTATATAATATATAATAAATATATATAATAAAAATATATATTATTTTATTACTTCCCTTCTACGTGACTTTACCGAAAGAACCAAGAATATGCATCCCTGCAGTCACGAAAGCTTTAAATCAAAATTGTTTGAATTTGTTCTTAAAAAATCTTCCAGTCAATGGCAGTTCGCAGTCGAGTGGCCCCTCGGAGTGCCCCCACAACCCCCCCTCCCCCATCGTCATCGAGTGACGCGCCGGCCAAGTGAAGGCGGAAGCGGCGACCACGAGGGCTGTGGGGCTCCATGCGGCGAGGCATGGGGGAGGCCGCCACTGGGGCGCCGCGAACTCCTCACCAACCTCTCACTCTCTCTCTCACACACACAGCTGTCCGAACATCACGCGGTCAGGGCGTGTGCTGTTAGTAGTAGCAGTGTGTGTACACGTATGTCGATGCAGTAGCCCCATATATGTACATTAGGCGATGTGAAAGGGGCACGGTTTGCTATTTAAGGGGTGGTTGGGTGGGTGTGATGTCCCGATGCTCCTGTCGTCAGAGCTGCACGACGCATCGTACACGTAGAAGGGGTATAAGGGGCTTCCCGCCAGCCGTATACAATTGCATACATTGTGGTGAGCGTGTCGGAGGCGTAACTACACATTGACACGATGGGCACTTCAATGATAACTACCCCAGCAACTGGCACATGTAAGCTGAGCCACCGCTGTGCACAGCAAGAACATGCTTGGCTAATGGACAACAGAGGGCTGGTGCAGCAACCCCAAAGTTGTACAGCAGCTCCTCGATTTACGTAGTAGTTGCGTTCCTGGAACGTATATCTAAACTTAGTATGTTGAAACACATTCCTGCGGAGGGAGCTGGTAGGAACGTTGGGTTGCTCGCTCAATGGCCAGGGTCAACGGCGGCGTGGTGTATTCCGCAAATATGCCCGACTGTGAGGGCGGGCACAAGCCGGCGTGAGTAGGTTAAACGTTGAGTTTTATAAGGGCACCACGGGGTGACCAGCCCCTCCGCACCCAGCCTCACCCCCCACCCAGCCCCTCCCCACCCACCCTCCCCACCTAGCCCCCACCCAGCCCCACCCTCAACCACCCAGCCCCTCCCTGCACGACGGACGGACGGACACAATAATCCCCTGTGGGCTGGTGGAACCAGTGGGTTCCTACCAGTATAAAGATAACAGTACTGTACTATGAGCATGCGTTCCCAGCCTTTCCAACTTACCATTTCATACTCAACACTTAATAAATTACCATTATTTTTTTTAAACAAAGACAATTTGTATTGAAAGTTATATTTTTTATACTGCACAGTTTTAAAACTGACAAAAAACTGCATTGTATCGTAAAATATATTCACACTCACCGGTGTAGTCTGGTAAAATAAGGTTTCATGGCCCATGAAACACCACAGTAACATTGTGGTTCCTCCCTTTCAGAATATAGTACTATATGCTAAAAATATAAATACATATTTTTCCTATATATGAGATAATGTATGCATCCATAATCCGCTATTCGTCTTTAACATGAGACGTATCCCTGTATCTCAAAAGGTTTAACAGGTAAAGATGAAACAGCTGTTGTGGGTGTTAAAATGACAGGTGATATTCCACAAGGTACCACACATTACGTGTATCGGGTTCCATAAACAACTTGTTGGCATTAGAACCGTGTTGTGTATTGTGTTAGAGAGACCCCAGTTTCTTGAACCTGTGGCTCATTACTAATACATTGAATACTCTATACACAAGTGTACGAACAGCTATTAATTAAGTGGAAGTTTGTTCACTCATCCAAGCACTCGCAAAGCTAAGCCTTAAACATCGATTATGGAATAAATATATATAACTTCGTACAGTTAAATAGATATTGTCGAAATAAAGTTTGGATACAACCAGAAAAAGTCGATCAAGGAGATATCGCCAAGACTATTCAATGTGATGAGATATGTTGTGAAAACTGGACGGGAGAAATGAAGGCAAAAATATAAATGGTAACATCACTGGATCTTTAACGTGGACATTCACAAACAAAACAAAAGATGAAACGTAAGCAACCAACCATGGAGATAGATATACTGGGAATTGCACCGAGAGACAGGAACACATGGATCAGAGGATACATGCGAATTGCAGACGATAATTGTTATGAAAAGTATTTGGGTTTGGGGGCACGACATGTCCTTAGAAGAAATGATGGCCGACAGACGATGCTGGTGGCAAGAATGGCAGCCAAAAGAAGATGACCACAGATAGTGATGAGATAATCTCATACATAGGGATGACATGGATTGTAATGACGTGGGTAGCCCTCGTTCAGCAGTGGATGGACCACGTCATAAAAAAAAATAACTTGTGAATTA